CATGTTAAATTAAAATAAAATTTTTAAATCTGTTAAGTTTTTTTTTTTTTCAGTGGCCCTAATCCTCTTCCGTAAATTTAATATGGTTCTTTTCTTTCATTTTTTTTCCAGAGTCTGAACTGGTGATTTTCTTGGCTGACTCCACATCTCCTTACTTCAAACCCAAAGTTAACATCTCCAAGGATGTTTTCCCAAAGTAAATATTCTAAAATAATGTATTTATATTTTTAGCGGGTGGTTTTTGAGAGCTAAGTGTGACTAAGTAATGCATTTAATTTTGTTTCTGCTATATAATAACTTTTTATTTTTATTTGGTACATTTCCCTTTCAGCCAGTGTTTCATTAAACTTGTTTCGTTTTCCAGGAATGCTGTTATAACCGGCGTTGTCCCTGGAGATTACGATGGAGACTCTCAGATGGATGTCCTTCTAACCACTCAAATCAATCCTACAGAAACATCTGTTTTTGTCTTCTGGGGAAACAATCACACATTAGGTACAGAATAAAAATCAATTATATCTAAGTTTTTTTTTTTTTCATTAATTTAGTACATTCTGATGTTTGTTTCATTTTCAATATACTAGATGTACAGAAGCATGGAGTTATTTTTGTCTTATTTCTGCTCTGTGTATCTGACCAGCAGAAAAAAGAAATCCATCCCAAATGTCATTTTTTAAATTAGTATTTCAGTCTTTAAAGGTATAGTGGAGGATTTTTGTGAATTTTTTAAAAGACCTGCCCTCTCCACTTAAAAAAAAAAAATGCACATACACAACCCTGTACCCGCTTCCGAGAGGGAACACCTATTAAACGCGTGCGAGAGCGTGCATAAGCACATTTCTCCTCGTGTACGCTCTGTTTAAAAGTTGCTGTTCTTAGAGTTCATTACAAGCTTACCGTGTCTGAACGTCCGCCCTAACCCCTAAATCCCTCTATCACTGTATAGAGTGGAGACTATATAGTGGATTTTATAGTGAACTCAGTTACTGAACGTTCAGACAAATGATCACTGCTTTTTGCTCCCCGTTGGTCATTTAACTCCTCCTCCGCTGCACGGTGCCTGCGCCATCTCTGTTGTTAGTCGCCACTGTCGGGTTGCTACTAGTGTTGTACAGTAACGAAGTAAAAATACTTCACTACTGTACTTAAGTATATTTTGGAGTACTTTATACTTTCCAAGAGTTTACATTTTTTGAGAACTTTCACTTTTACTTCACTACATTTACGAACTTAATTGCATACTTTTACTCCGATACATTTTCAATGTTTGGTTTAGTTACTAAGTAAAAAGAAAAAAAAAATGAGCGAGAGAAACCAAAGTGTTTTGACCCCACCTTCTGACTACAAAGTCGGGTCTTGCCTGGGCTCGTTCATCAACACCAACAGGATACGCCTGTTTCGCAAAGCCAGTCAAAATTTATCCTACACTTGGTTGTTTATATTATTTTAAGTGAATTTAACCTTCAAAATTTACCAAAATGTAAAAAAATGTCATTCTAACTGCACTACTTTTTACTTATGCTTTTCACTACATTACTTGAGTACATCTATTTTTACAGTAATTCTTATACTTAAGTACAAGCCATTTCAGATACTTTAAGACTTTTACTCGAGTAACATTTCAGTCAGTGACTTGGACTTTTACCAAAGTCATATTTTGGAGAGGTACTTATACTTTTAATTGACTCTGAGAGTTCAGCACTTTATACAACACTGGTTGCGACAGCGGGCTGCTTTGACTGCAAATCCCATAATGCTTTGCGAGGGGAGCTCTCCGCACAAAGCATTCTGGGATATGTCTGCCTCTTCTGAGGCCTTTTTTTTCTTCTCATACACTTTGTAGATACTTTTTGTCTTACGACCCTCGGCTATTTTCGAAAAACCGCGGTGAGAAAGGTGAGCTTCAATGACTGTCTGAAACTGTAGCTCACCACAGATATACGCCTGAAAGTGAGCATGCACAGAAAAAGATAGCTAGCAGGACGAGCACGGGGGAAGACGACGTTACATCACCAGAATGATTGACAATTACGAGAACCACTTATTTAGATGATCCACCAGGAAATAAAAGATTGTTCTCTATAGAAAAATTATTAGTTATTAATTTTCAATAATTTTTCCACTTTTTTGGTGTCTTGATTCGTTTTCTTCCTTCCAGGTTACAAAGCTCTGCTCTGCCAATATTCTAAGCACAACTCATCATGACAACTTTTTAAATTTCAAAATAGCAAAGTGTGTTGGCCTAGTGGTTAGAGCAGTGCGCTTGTGATCTGAGAAGGTTGCAAATACCCGCTTTGATCCCCACAGCCTCCACCCTGGGTCCCTGAGCAAAACCCTTAACCCCACACTGCTTTCTGGGCGCCGCACAATGGCAGCCTACTGATCCCCAAGGGGATGGGATAAAAGCAGAGAACGAATTTCTCCATTGTGGGACAATAAAGCTATTTACATTATAAAACACCTATACTTACTATAATGCAGTGGAATATGAATCCATTCCTTTTTATTTAACACAAGTAGCTGTGACCTTGATGCTTTGTTCAAGAATTTGAGCTTTTATAAGTTAAATCTTAATGATTAAACAAAATCACATTTATTCCACCTTGATAAATAATGGAAACAACTTCTTTAAATATTCCTTATTTTTGGTCTGTTAATGTGCATGGGTCTGTGTGCGGAGGAGCATATTCTATCCCCCTCATTGTGTCATTTGATTCTAACTAAAAAAAATAAACAAAAGAAAAGGAGGCAGATCAGCAGACTATTTCCACACAAGTCAGGTTTGATGATTCACCAGGAAGACAAGCTGTAGGTAATCATGCATGTCTACAATCTACTGCTCAACTGTGAAAAGAAAGCAGCCTTGGCATATGAGAACATGGGAAGAATTTAGTGTTCAAAGATGGTACTGACCTGGATACTGATTAAGATTCTCAGTCATCCAGGTCATAGTCATTCCGTAAAAGTTTAAAAAACAATCCAGTGGACTTGGTTTCCAAGATTTGAAGACGTTTCGCTTCCCCCTCCAGGAAGCTTTCTCAATTCAAATGTCTGGATCCGTATGAAACTCACTGCGGATCCAGACATTTGAATAGAGAAAGCTTCCTGGAGAGGGAGTGAAACGTCTTCAAATCTTAGAAACCAAGTCCAGTGGATTGTTTTTTAAACTTTTACGGAAAGATACTGACCTGTTGGACATGATGATAGGAGGATTATCAGCTGGTTTAGATGGACCAGCCTCACAGTGAAGAAGCGAGCATCAACAGTGCTGGTTTAACTTCTCACTGCGGAGTGTTTGGAGCTGATTGACAGCTCCAGTATTTAACAGTCGTCCCTGAGCCGTTCCACTACCATAAACTGCAATTGAATTCACAGAATAGCATTTTGAGGTTAGAATGCATTTCTCAAAAAGTAATCTGAGCTCCGACTCATACAGCTATAAGGACACCTTCTGTAAATTAATATGCTTATTCGAATAAAATGCATTTAATTCACTTATTTAATGCAAAAATGTGTCAGAGTGGACTCTGTGCATGACGGCTCGCTTCTCTTTGTTTTTGTGTGTTTTTTTTGGGGACATCCAGAATTGTTTAAAACAATTAACCTTAATGTAGCTTGTCTGGTGACATGTTTATATGCACTTGAAAAACGATCTAGAAATAAGTAAAAAATTCCTTAAATTAAGTGTATTTACCCTTAATTTAAATAGGTTAATGAGATAGTTTGCCAATGGAATGAGTATTTTTACTCTTAAAATAATATAAGTAGATAATATGCATTTGAAATAAGACAATGCAATTGTGTTTTCTTATTTTAAAAGTAAATTGTCTTGTTTCATTGGCAAAATGTCTCTCTTACCTCCTTAATCCAAGAACAATTGCACTTATTTTAAGAAAAAATGACTTATCTAGATTTAGATTTTTTCCAGTGTGAATCTTACATTACAATAATAAGCTCAGCAAATGTAAAACAATGTTAAATGCTGACTGAATATTTTATTTTCCTAATTATTACAAATAATGACTCTTAATATTGCTGATGTCGCTCACTAAATTGTTGGTTGGCTGTGACAGCAATCGCTGAGTAGTGTCTCTGTTAGTGATTACTTGACAGCGCTGTTGCCATGGTTATTTAGATACATGGTGGGGGCTTTAGACTGATTTCATATATATTTAGAGTTAGGGGGTCTGGTGTAAGCTGCATACTATTTTCCACATGAAACCCTAGTTATGAAAACAACAGTATAAAAATATATATATACAAACAGCTATTATCTTTGTGAAGGACAAAAAGTGTTAAAAAATTGAAAAAGTGCTTTCATTAAATTGTGTCAAAAATGGTTAAAAAAAAGGCTCAAAACAATACAAAATAACTTAAATAGAAAATAACATG